AAACACTCAACAAGGATTTGATGCTAAGGTGAGATTTTCTTGCTCATTTTTAAGTTTTCTAATCAAACTTTTTAGATAATTCCTTATGTGAGTACTGTTACTGCAGATACCATATCTATAAACCCTTGCCGTTTGTAATGCTTGTGCCATGTGTTCTAGAACAATAGTATAGAACTAAGGTTTTATTGCTAGGCTTATTATCAAAAAACATTATAAGCTGCCTTCCCTCCTTGAGGTTTAAGAGCAAGGTTCTCCCTTTTTGTTCTTCAATCCCCTAAATTTTATGGCAGGCAGACATTAGTGGCTATGATACTGCAGAACTGCAAGAGCGACACGACCATTGGTACAAGAATGGGCACAATTCAATAATCTTCTCAACATAAGCCCAGAGCTTATTACAGCAGAGCTGAAATCAGTGTTGGAGGTAAATTATCTGTATTTCAGGTCTCCCAGACAGTTATAGCTTCTGTATTCATGTGTCTCTGAGGAAGGAGATGAATGCCATGATCCCTGATATGATGGATTTGGACTAAAAGCAACCATATGTATCTGAAATTCCTTGCCATTTCAATATTCTCAGAAATTTGCTCTGACAGCTACAGGACAACAATGGTGATGGTAAAGCCATGCCTGTAGGGTCCCAGGATATCTGAACCCAAGTTCTCAGGACAAAGAAGTCTTGATTTCCCCAGAGGAAAAGAGGGCATGGAATAAGAGACAAAGACAGGAGATAAAGGATGAGGGAGAAGGGGGAGAGAGCAAGAGAGAGGGAGGCTTTGTTCTGGAATTGGACAAAGGAAGTCCACCTCTGGATAGAGAGCAGACAGATGTAGCACATAGAAAAATGGCTGTTTATTGGGGTGATATGGGATACCCTGTGTTAGAATGAAGGGTTTATTTTTAATTTGACATGACAACCAGGAGATTCAAAGGGGATTTTTCACTCCGTAATTTATTTATTCATTTAATATCCCATAGCTTCACCCCCTCTTCTTGTTCCCCCTAAAAAGAGTCACTCCTTCCCTTCTCCTCCTCTGAGATGGTGAGGGCCTCACTGAATATCACTGAACCCTGAACATCAAGTATCCACAGATTTAGCGTCATACTCACCCATTAGTCCAGACAAGGGATTCCAGTTAGAGGAATGCATTCCATAAACAGGCAACAGCTCTAGGGATTGCATCCAATCTAGTTGTTGAGATACCCACATGAAGACTGAGCTGCACATCTGCTGCATATGTCCTGGGGGCTTTGGTTCAGCCCATGCATGCTCTTTGGTTTTTGGCTCAATGTCTGACAGTCCCTGAAATTATGGAATGATTCTCATGGCAGATCTCTGAGATTCAGACCTTTCAACTGGTTTGTCCTTTTACTTTCTCTAAGCAGGATTGTCACTAATTATTCATTTGTGTAACTGCAGTCCTATTTAATCACTGAGTTCAAAACTATTTCCGCTTCTAAGGTTTAGCCAGGTTCTGTGCTTCTGCAGCATTTTAGTTATTTATGTCACGGTCTTAGTCTTGTGTACCATCATTGTGTCTTTTTACGTTGTCTATTTACAATGTAGGGTGAGTGATTTACTCTATGAAAACAGATTCTCTGTCTCGGGTATAGCCTGATGAAGACAGGAAAGACCCTGTTTTCTCCTGTCATTATCTTTTTAGAAATGGGAACTGCAAGAGTTGGATCCAACTGCCACCAAGGAGGAACCTGGCTTTAGAGGGATGTTACAGTAATATTGGCACAACTTCAAATCTATGATGTATATAAGTCATTGTCCCCATTTAAACTAGATCCACTTCTCCCTTCAGCTGAGCTGCATGAACACTGAAGTTACAGGCATGAAGTGTTTCTAAAGCCAGACTGTGCCACTTCAGTGTAAGCTATGACAAACCTAACTGCACGGAAGCTCATGACCAGCAGGGGGCACAATGAGGCCAGGAATCCTCATAGAGAGATGAAGTAGGCATGGAGGGGACTCTGTATTTTTTGTGGTTTCCTTTCTTAACGGTATTAACTGATCTGCCTTTGCTGTAAATGATATGTGATGTCATCATGCTCAAACAGTGTAAAGATTCTTTGTGAAACACTTCACAGGTGTCTATTTACTAGTTTCTATGTGCTTTTAATAATTTTTGAATAAAATCATACTATGTATTCTAATAACTGATTTTCACCCCCACAATTTATATTAGATCCTTCCTACCTTCCAAATCACCCAAATACACACTGTTTTTTTCTTTCTGAAAAAGTAAAAAGAAAAAAAAGAGAAAAAAAGAAAGAAATTGGAAGGGGGATTAAAAGTGAACAATAACAGAAGCAAAACCCCAAACAAAAAAGGACACATACACACACACACACACACATAAACATATATACATATACATACACACACATGCACACA